CTTTCCCCTGGGCTTGGGGGACTCATAGCACCCAGTACTTCCTGCCTCTGAGCTCCTACCTCCTACCCGGGTCAAGCTAGGCTCTGCTTCTAAGGGCTAAGTAAGGCTAAATTCCTGGAAACTGCAAAATAGGGACCACGTGGAGGTGGGGGGTATGTTTTCTCCTCAGTTCAGGGAAGCAGTGGGGGAAGGGTGCTGGGAGAAGGAAGAGGGTAGAAAATCAGACAAAAATGCCCATTATACCCAAGCCAGTCAATTTCCTTTTTTCATCTCTTTATCAGTGTTTGTGACTGAGGTTCTTATCAACAGGAAACGCCTGCCTAAGGGGATGAGGCAGGTCCAGGGGGACTGAACGCCAGGGACTGAGAATTCTGGGTAGTACGTTGCTGCTGTCCAGCCAGACCAAGTGACCTCCTGATTCCCAGAACCCAGTAAGGTTCCCAGACTCTTTGCCTTGGCATCTAGTGAATCCTTAGGTCTACATAGGATGATAGCACCAAACAGGCCCCGAGGCCAAAGGGTCTATAGGAAGAAGCCCTGGGTAGGGCTCCAGCCCTAGCCCTCTGTGACCAAGGACAGGTCACCAAAAGCTCAAACTACAAAGTGAGAATTGCCTTAGCCCCTAAAACACACCAAATCTCCAACTTTTTAGCTGAAGTGAGGCTAAGTGACATGACAAGGTCACAGATGACTTAGTGACAGTCACTCCTACTGGCCTTTCCAGTGTGTTTGCCTTTAAGCCCTCCGAGGATAGTGCCAGTGCCGGGCATCCAAGCCTGGGACAATTAGGCCTTTGGCACAGACTTCTGAATGAAAGAGAAGAGAGGGACTCTACCACTGATTGACCTCCTATTGTGTGTCTGGTGCTTTAAGAAGAATGATCATCGGACTAGGAGACTAGTCTCCCAGATGGGGCTCCCAGGAGAGGGACAAATGGAGGGTCAGATTTCCCCTCAGGCTAAAATCAAATCTTAGTGCTGAAAATAAATGCCCACGAGGGATCTCTGGGCCACACAAGGCTTTATGGGTGGCTTAGAGGAACAGGTTTATCTAGACATCTTTCTTCAAACTGGCAGAAAACTGAATGGAAAGTACGGGAACTGGCTGTTCTGGGAGGACAGGTGTGAAAGGTTTGTGTAGAACAGAAGACAGGCCCCCGTGCTTTCTGTTCCTTGCCTTCTGCCTATCAGTTGTCCTTGAGCAGCCACACTCTGCTCTTGGTTGTGGCGGTAATAAAGGAAATTCCAGTGTGCCTTTTGCCCGGCCCCCATGTCTCCCTGGACAACCCTACTCTCCCCCAACCTCACCACTTGCTCCTACAGCTGGAGATCTAGGTCAGTAAGAGTGGGTGGGTGAGAAAGAGCAGAGAAAAGACTCATCCAGACGTGACACCCCGCAGGGCAGCAGTGACAACACTTTAACCTGAAAACTGCCTGAAAATAGACTGTGTGTCTATGACATTATGCAAATCATATGCAAAGTCAAGAAGCCCTCTGTCTCTATTTCTAGCAAACTGAATGTGGACCTGGTGGAAGCAGCTCGTTCCAAGAGTCGCCCACCCAGAGTGACGGCTGCACAGTTAGCATCAGTCTCCACCCTGGGAGAATAGACTCAGGACATGCACCCTTCCACTCCACCCCCAGGGCTGGATCTTTTAGGCGTGAGGACTTCACCATCTCTAGGTCTGTTAATTTTGATGCTAGCGAGGGCATGGAAGAAGCAGAGCACCCTTCCTGAAGGCTAATGTGAGGCAGGACTGAGGGAGACTAGTGACTGGGAGGGTAGAGAGAACTGTCCTTGGTGGCCTGGGTACCACAAGGCCTTGGCAGGGGAAGGTTCTCAGCATCAAAGCTCATGCTCCAGGGACCACCTTCACTCCTTATTTGGGCACATCATAGACAGTCATCATTCCTCCAGTAGGGTCTATACCACACAGATGATACTCTCTTTGGAGAAGTATGAAAATTGGAGCCTGGGATCCCCCAGGAAACAGGGCAAAGCTGCGAAGTCAATGAGTTTTCTTCTTTCAAAGAAAGGCAACTTCCCTGAGGCTCTACATGGAGACAGAGCCGTGGACACGTGAGCTCCCAAGAATGCTTCTAACCCTGGAGGGCAATGAGCCCATTCTCCTATCCCAGATCCCATCCAAGCTTCTGGTAACTCATTTTCTGCCATTTCCCTACTGCCCTCCTGCCCACTCTCCAACCACAGTGTGGACATCAGGTTGGGGATCTAAGGACCAGGGTCTGGGAAGTACAGGGGAAGGAAGGGGGAAGGCAGTAGTTGTGGGATGCCAGGAACGTCCTCATTTCCCAAAAGCCGGTCTAACAGGTCGTCTGGGAAGGAAGGCACTGTCTCTTGCGTGGGGGCTTCATGTACACAGGCAGGTATGAGGCCGACTTGTGGACTGCGGGGAGTAGGGGTGGGCCTCCGTGGTAAAAAGAATTGGGGCATCCTTTCTGTGGACTTAGGCAAGGTGAGGGTCCCATTTGAGGAAGGAATGGAGAGGGAATTGAGGCGGGCAGGGCCAAGCCGCCTCTGAGTGTGGACACAGAAAGCTCCTTCCTAGGTGTTGTTTTCAGGGGACAGTCCCTGCAAACCAGAAACACCGGGGTGTTCACCCACGCTGGCGCCTGCGGCGGGGTGAGGAGAGTCCCACTGTCGGAGAAGGCCCACGGTTCCGGCGCAGGGGCTGGCGGGCAGCGGCCGCTGGGCAGCCTTTCGGCCAGCAGAGGGCGATGTGGCGGGCACCGCAAGCAGCCTGCTCCCAGCCAAGTGTCAGAACTGAGATTTAGGCCGCCACGGGAAGTGGGGAGGGTGTCTAAACAGAGGTCTGCGCTATGACCTGTCCATTAAGGGCAAAGGCCGCGCAGGTTACCCCGGGACCCTCTCCTTCCCCGTCCCCTCAGGTTCCCTCTGCGACGGGCCACTGCAGAGGCACCAGCCTAGGAAAACTCAACAGGATCTCGGGATTCAACCATGGTTTATTGAGGGCCTACTATGTGCTAAGCACGAGCTAAGTGCTCTCATAAACAGTATCTCCAGGTAAGAGACTGCAGTTTCGTTCGACCCTGGAACCTCTTTCTGCACTCAGACGTATTATGCGAACTGCTCTCACCAACTCCTGCTTCCCTCCCTGACCAATGGCAGTTCTCCCAACACCCGCCCTCTTCTCTCACTCCTCCCCTTGTCACTACACCTCCTGCCTCAGACCTTCTCTTCTTAGGGATGGTCTAGCTTTTAGGGAGCTGCCTTCAGTTTCTGGCTGTGGAGTCTCAGAAGGAGGCTTTTGCCTCCCAAATCCAGTACAGAAAATCCTCAGGGAAGGACTGAATCCTGGGTTGTGTGGGTTCCAGTGACCGGAAGCCATGAAGCAAACTGCCCCATGATGATCTGGGAACCCAGCAGGTCTTTCTGTTTTCACTCAGTTTCACTTCTTCGTTCTCCTCTGGGCCTTGCACAATGCTGGGAGACAGGCCTGGGAAAGTGCCCCAGTGGTGATGGTGTAAGAAGCACACAAGAAGCTGGCCAGGGGAGGTTGTGCCAGGTCATTTACAACAGGAGAAGAGGCCATGTTTGCTTTACCTCCTGTGAATAACCGAGGGTTCATCTTTACTCTGCCCCAAGGGCAGAGGCTATGGGGTCAGGTCTTCCCAAGCTTGGGCTGTCCTTGTTCCTAACCTGAGCCCCAACCTCCCAACTGTTCAGGCTCTACTTCCAACTCACTGCTCACCCCCCACCCCCAAGCCCATTTACCTGCCCAGGGTTCAGGGTAACCTCCTCAGTGCATAGAAACACACCCTTGACTTCTAAACGCTAAACTTTCTGTGTGTTTCTCTACAACCACCAGGTTCTTTCTAGACACATACTCTCTGGGGCCTGGCCAAGAGTGTGGATCTGGGCCAGGGGCCAGTGGGGAGCAGGAACCTGGATGCCAGAAAATTATTGGCTGGAGCCACATTTCCTCTAAGCCTCGGAGGTCCTGCAGGAAGCCATCCTTCAGCCCCTCTCAGTCCTGGGCAAAGAAGGCAAAGCCACAGAGAAGGTAAGGGCTGGCTGGCTTGCCTGCCAGAAGGCCAGGGACTGTCTGAGCCCAAGGATGACCTGTCGGTTAAGGCAGGAACTGGAGCCTGTGGAATTAGACTAGGAGGTATCTCAGACACTCCTGGCCTCAGATAAAGTAATTTTCAAATCCCTATCTTAGGACAAATTGCCAGGGGCTGGGGCATAAAGAATAAGACACTGATGAACTGAATTCTAACATGGGCTGAAAATACCAAAAAAATAATAATAATAATTAGAGCTGAAAAAAACCTCAAAGGACATCAAGACCAAATCTTTCAATGTGTAGATGAAGAAACGAAGGTTCTGAGACAATGAAGGCCTCATTCTTATCACTTAGAGCAAGCACCCAGGACCAGAACCTGGGTCTCTGACTCTCAGCTGAACCTTTCCCTGGCCATGTTTGGCCTTGATGTCCTCTCAGTTATTCTGAAAGTCCTGGGCCTGCCACACCCCCAGTAGGACTCCTTGAGTTTAACCCCCAATAAGTCAGCTAGGATAGGGGGTAGGTGCCCCAGCTCTTCTAGGCAGCTGACCGTCAGCTTGCAGGAGCCGTCCAGGAGACAGAGGCCTGAGGCGTCATGTAGCTGACATACAAGCCCATGGAAAGAAACTGATGGGCCCTGGATGTCTGAGGCTTGGGCCAGAGGCAGAAGCCTGGCAGGGCAGGGTGTCTACCGAAGGCCGGACAGGGCCCCAGCCACCTTGGCAGCTCTGGTAGTCGCCCTCCGTGAGGTTGACCAAGGGCAGGGGGTAGAGTGCAGGCCTAGGCTCTGGGCCCAAGAGACTGGGATTCCCTGACATGGCCATCCTGGCTCTGGGGCCTCCTTTGCATCCTGTCCTGGGATTGTAAGGGATGCACCCAGGGCATGGGGGTGGGGAGGGAGCCAGGCGTCAGGGAGCCTGCTGTTCTGAGCAGGCCAGACGGTGGGAGATCGGGTTTCAACCCAGCAGTATTTTTGGCTGGATGGGCTGAGGGGCTGAACTGAGCAGGCACAGCCTTCCCCTAGAGGGGTACCCCCCGACTCCAGCACAACACTCACACTACCCCCACCCAGATAGACCACCATCCACCGCCCACCCCCACACACCGCAGGCCCAGGGGAGTCAGGTTTCAGGCCAGTGGCTAGTGAATTACTTTGGGCTTCTCCAGACTGTTGCTGAGTTTCTGAAGTGTCTTCTTGATCCGCAGTGCAGTGAGGCGGGCAGAGGGGTTGGGGTACCAGCACTCCCGCATCATCTGAGCCAGGCCTGAGAGGACCTGGGGGAAGGGAGAGAGAGGCAGAGGGGAAGAAGCAGAGACATGGGTCAGGGAAGATGGAAAGGAGGAGGCAAGGAGGGTGGCTCAGTAATGGGGCGACACAAGCAGGACAGAATGGATGAGAAGAGGGAAGATGAGAGTGTTGAAAAGGAAGGGGAAAGGAAAGGCAGAAGTGGTAAGACGAGGAATGGAGGGGACCAGGCAAAGATGAGAAGAGTAAGATAAAAAATGGGAGAGGAAGAGAGTGGAGTAAGAAGGGGCATGAAGATAGGCAGGCAGGACAGAAAGAGAGCTGTAACTCATCTTCAGGAGCACTCAGGTCCCCTTTGGTGAGTAGTGTTTGTGGAACACCTTGCCCCCACCCCCACCTCCAAGAAAGGGGAGATAAGCAAACCTTAGGGCTCCCACATCTCCAGCCAGACCCCAGTGCAGAGGGTAGTGTCTCTCAGACCTCAACCAACCATAACTGGACCCAGTGGACACTGGAAGAATGGGTGGTGAGCACTGCAAGTGTCCAGAGAGGAAGCCACCCCAGGAAGCTCAGTGGGTGAGCCACTGAGTGAGCCAGCCCCACCCTGAGCTGATTCTTGAGAAGGAGTGTATATGCACAGGAATTCATGTGTGGCTTTTTTTGTGTGGAAATGTATATTGTGCAGAAATGTACATGTGTATATTTATTCATTCTTTTAATAAACATCTATTGAGCACCTACTGTGGGCCAGGCACTGTGATAGATGAGGATATAAAGGTCAACCCAGGTACATGCTTTTTGTCTTCACGGGGCCAGCAGTCTAGCATACACATGCATGTGTATGTATGTATATCTGTGAGTACGTGTTTAAGTAGAAGCATGTGCATGCCTATTTGTGTTTATATACACACGTATGTGTGCTTGTAAAAGTATGTAGAGTTTTGAGAAAAGACAAAGACAAACAAGAACAAAAACTGCAAAGCAAGAAATGCAGCAGAACCTCTGACCTTTCCGGCAAGGTGAAGTATTCTCAAAATCCCAGAATAACCAGGGGGTCCAAAGGCCAGACCAGGGATATGGGAGGGAGTAGCCAGGGAGGTACCCTGGACTGTATCCCCCAGAATCTATCCAGGTGAAGCAAAGGCCTCAGACACAAGTTCCTGGGTCCAGAAATCCCAGCTGTGAGCCACCACCCCATGCCATCCCAGCCCCCATGGAGACCTCACCGGGTCTGCAGCCAGCCGGTTGGGGATGGTGGGGGTCTGCTGGTCAACACACACCACCTTTTTCATGTCCTCAAAGCTGGGATCATTGGGTACCACATCATAGAAGGGTGGCCTGTAGTCTTCCACAATGCCTGGGGGTGAAGGGTGATGGAAAGTGACACAGGACCCCAAGAAGGCCCAATACCACCCAGAGGAAACCAATTGCCTGACCATGCTACCCTTTAGAGGAACATTATAATATTAGAAATATATTTATAAATAATAATTACTACTGCTTATTTTGCCATGTGCCAGGCATTGTGCTATAAATGCTTTACATGCATTATACTGTTAGTCTTCACAATAATCTTATTAGGTAGGTACTGTTATTACTCACATTTTATTGATGAAGAAACTGATGCTCAGAGAACCTGAGCCCAAGGTTACACAGCTAGTGATGGCAGAGTCAAGACTTAAACTCATCTCATTAGATTCCTAGGCCAGATCTTGTTCTACTGCTTCCCACCCAGGGTCTGGGTACTGCCTGTAGGTCCCAACTAACACAGATGCCCAATAATACCTAAAGTTTACTGAGCACTTACTATATGCCAGGCACTATCCTAAGTGCATTGCATTAAATCCTCATAACAACCCTATGAGGTAAGTAAATACTGAGTTCCACTCTATAAGCAATTAAATTAAGGCCAGAGAGGTTAAGAAGCTTGTCTAAAAATCACACAAGTAGAAAGTGACAGCTGAGATTTAAGCCCAGAAAGTCTACCCAAAGCCCAGGCTCTTAACCTCCAAATTTTATAGACCTAAGGGATAGTAGCTGGTTGACTGCTAGGTGAGGGTGTAGAAAAAGGAGAAGGGAGAGAAAATACCTCTCTTAAGAGAAAGAGATTTTTACCCAGGTCCAAATAACATCCCCCCACTCTCAGGGATGGCATAGGCCTCTCCTGACCCTCTCGGCCGGCATCACCCCTCCCTTATACCAAGTGTGTTGTCCTTAGCAGGAGCTTTCTGAAAATGATGGCTGTGGAGCTGCAGCCAGCTCAAGCAGAAGAGGCCAGACCCAGAAAAAATGCCCCATGCTGCACCCTGCTTCCCAGGCCGAGGATGGGGGCCAGGGCCACATAGTCGAAAACCTCAGAAGAGCCTGCTCCAGCTGTTCTCCCCATGGCGGGCTTCCAGGTCAGCCCCTGTGCCGCTCGCGCCCTAATCAGTGCTGCACAGAGGCCTGAGCGTGTCTAATGGGCCTTTAATCAGTGCCGGGGCTGACACCAGATTACAGTGTTTATAATGCGCCACGAATCAGTATGGGACTGACAGAGCTTCCCTCCGCCCCAGGAGCCAGCAGTCAGCCATCCCCTCAGCCCTGGCTGGTCCAGCCTTCCTCATCTGCCTGCAGCCTGGTCCAAGTAGCCTTGGTCTTTCCAGGTGCCCCCTTCTCCTACCCCGGCCTCTAGAGCTGACTCTGAACTTTCAAGCCTGAAGAGGCAGGAATCTGATGCCTTTGAGTCTCCCAAAGGGTCTCGTTACACCTCGGCCTGATGAGAGCAAATGAAGCCTGGCATGAGGCTGGCTCCTCATAGATGCTCAGGAAATAAGAATTTACCTCTCCCCAAGGAACAGAGCTCCAGTCATATCCTGAGGCTTGTCCCCAATCTATCAGGAGCTCTGGCAACCCCTCCATATGGACAGCCTCCACGAAGACTGACAAGCCTCTCCACCCAATCCAGACCACCACCCATCATCCATCTACCCCAGGGCTGAGAGGCCACTGGCCACATGGCTGCTCACTATACGGGTCCCTCTGCCTGCTCCTGGCCCCTCAAATTTGAGTTCTTTGTGGCACCCACAATAATAATGAGGCAGCAATAAACAGGCAGTTTAGGCACTATTATACCCTGCATTTTTGTGGTCAAGGAAGCCAAGGACCAGAGAGGTTTAAGTAGTACAGTGGTAAAGAGCACTGGTCGTAGAGTCAGATTGCCTGGTTTCAGACTCCAGTGCTGCCTCTAGCCAGCTGTAATTCTGTGCCTCAGTCCCCTCATCTGTAAATGAGGATGATACTGTGTCAGGCATTCATTATGACAACAATAATTGACACTAATATTTACCGAGCTACAGAACAGCTCCATACACTGTCCTAAATACTTCATTTGGATTATCTCAACTACTAAAAACTATTTTTATTCTCATCTTATAAATGAGGAAACTGAGGCTTAGAGAGCAGGTTAAGTAACCTGCACATGGTCAGTGGCAAAATCAAGAACTGAACCTAGGCAGTCTAATTCCCAACCCATTTTCTTAACCACTAAGCAACACCAGCTTCCTGCCAACATAGGATGATTAAATAAGACAATACATGTATATCACATGGCACCTGGCACATATTTAAGCTCAATAAATGTTAACTGCTATTAATATTTCTGTTATTATCACTTACCCAAGATTTCGCAGCCAGAATCACAGACTCACAGACTCAGATGAACCTTAAAAGTTCACTCAGCTGAATCAGCTAGCGAGTGATAATGAAGGGAATACAGGTGGTTTGGCCACAAAACTCTCGTGCCGCAGGGACATGCCATGGCAGGAAGACCCCATCTCCTGCCTGTCTATCCACCTGCCCCATTCCCCTTTCCTCACCCCGTGCCGGATAGGCCCTCACCATTGACAATGGTCCGGCGGGCGATCTCCCACAGCACCAGACCAAAGGCCCAGATGTCAGTCCACTTGTAGGACTCAAAGCAGTCGGTACGGATCTGTTCGTCCAGCACCTCTGGGGCCATGTACCGTTTGGTGCCTACTCGAGGGTTGTTGCCAATGTCCAGGTAATCACTACTCTGGGAGTGCATCACAGCCAGGCCTGTGGGTACGGGGCCTGTCACTTCTGCCACTCCCCTGAGCCCACAGACAGGGCGCAAGGCGAGGATGGAGGTGTGACACAGAGGTGCAGGCAAATGGAGACCAGCCTCGAGGTGGGCTGGGAGAACAACTGTCCCAGTTTCATTTCACTTGTGTAGTGCTTTCTAGGTACCCAAGAACCCAGTGAGATGTTAGCAGGCAAGGCAGGCATTATTATGCCCATTCCACAGAGCAGAACCCCAAGGCCCAGTTATGGGAAGCAGTGTAGTGAATGAAGCTAGGATGAGAACCCAGGTTCCTGGCTCCCTGTCCCTTTCTCCTAACTCTTGGGAGTTGGGGTGATGTGGTGGAAGGAGTTTGGGCTGGAAAAGGGTGTTATGTAACTTGTGGGGCTCTTGTGGAGGTGAAATGAGACAGCAAACATCTCTGTAAGTTTTAAAACGCCAATCCGTATCGTCGTCGTCCACAGGCATGCAAATAGGCCAAGGCGGAAC